GTCACGTGGTATGTTGAATGCAGCACTGGTTCAAATTAGATGTTTGTGATGTCAAAATACTAAGTCTATGGTTTCATAGGAATTGGAAACACAAATTATCAATATTGAAAAGCTAGAATATAAAATAAGAGTCTCTTATCTTTTCACTTTACTAAGATATTGCTCTTGTGATAAATCAAACACAGTGGCACCCTGCCCACCTCTTTCCATTTTTGGAAAGACTCCCTTATATATGCTTACTTCTATATATGACATGAATAACCAATCAGAATGTCCCCTAGTGGCTTTCTCGGCCATTTTAATGTGCCTGGCACCATTTCTTTCTTTTGAACCAATATTTCAGTGAGGTAGGGTGTGTGTTTAGTCTGTTCTAAAGTTATAGCATGAAAATTATAGCAAGCACAAAATGGTTACAATGTCAGTCCCAGGGACTGAGCCCATGCTGAAAGAGTTAATACCTTCTTTGGCCTGCCAAGTGGCTGCCATGGTCTAGTGGTTAGGGCTCTTGACTCTCAGTTTGAGGGTGCAGAATTAGAACCCATCTACGAATATGCTTGTTCTTTCAGCCATGAGGGTGTTATAAATGTGAGAGTCAATCTCTGTTTGTTTCTAAAGAGTAGTCCAAGAGTTGGCTGTGGCTGTTATTGGCAAGTTGCTTTCCTGCCTGTTATTACTTGGAAAGTGGAGACAACTAGTGCAGGTAGCCCTTGAATAGCTTTGAGTAAAAGTCAACAGAACAAACAAACAGATAAAATGAATATAAATGTGCAAAACTAATCTACTATAAAAGCCAGAAATAAATGTTATGCAGGCGAATGAATTTGAGTTATATTAGAAAAAATATAAAATTATGGAGACAGGACCTGTAAGTGTCAGGGAAACTGAAATTAGGCAAAAAAAATAACACTTTGAAAAAAGTCGGAGAATTAAAAAAAATGGAGAAAAATATTGTTTGTGTTAACATTACTTGTATTATACCTTTACATTGTTTGGGAATGACTTTTTTGTTTCATCTGCTAAAATTGGGATACAATAAAAATTCTGTAGTTGTGTCCTCCTTGTTAGACCATATTTTATTTTTTTCAGAATGTGTTGTTATAATCTTAAAACAAGTGATGTGTAGGTAGTGCAGTCAATGATTTGATTTTACTTTTCAGATAAAATTTCACCTTACATCAAATCTCAGCCTGTTCCAAAGTCAAACAAAGGTCCAGTATTTACCGTTGTTGGGTCAACATTTGATGAACTTGTCACAAAGAATAGCAAAGATGTAATCTTGGAGATTTATGCCCCCTGGTGCCCACACTGCCAAAATTTAGAGCCAATATACAAAAAATTAGCCAAAAAATTTGAGGAGCATGAAAATCTCATCTTTGCCAAGTTTGATGGTACATCTAATGACTTTCCCGAGCAATACATCCTGCAAGGATACCCTACAATATACTACATTCCAGCAAACAATAAGGATAAGCCTGTGAAGCATTCTGGGGGGAAAGAGTTAAAAGATTTGGTGAAATTTGTTAAAAGTAATGCAGGAATAGTAGATTCCAAAGATGAATTATAACTCTTTTACGTTTACTTTTCATTTAAAAAAAAAACAAAAACAGATTCACTACAATTTGTTCTACATGATAGTCTTCATGATCCACAAGAAAAATCAGTTTTTGTATTAATTTTATGGTGTTATAAGATATGGCATATTGCTGTTATAATTTTTTTTTTTTATTGTTACGAGTTAAGTTTTATTTTTTTTCTTGACACCATTTGTAGAGATGCATCATATAGCAAGAACACTATTCCATGGTTCTTCGGTATAAAAATGAACAAAGTCTACAATATTTATATATATGAATGCATCACAAAAATTGCTTTTCATCATCAGGTCCTAAGATCACAGGAACTTTGAAGAACAAATATCGATACAACAAAAATTCTATTTTAATGTCATGAGCTCTTTGGAAATTTTTGTTTTGAAGAACATACATTTGTGTCATTTTGACAAATAAAATTGACTTTATGTAATATTATTGGTGTAAGTTGTGTTTTGTTGTTCTTTCACTAAATAGGATTTTAAATTATCATATTGAGTACTTAAACATATATCAATATAGTGAAACTCTTCTGCCTATAATTCAGTGAAATTTAAAAAGTAAAATTAATCTTACTTTTCTTATATATATATGATTTGAGAAACTGAATTCTATTATACTTTCCTTTATTAGAATATTATATATATATATCTCGATTTTAAAAATCTCATTTTACTCATACCCTGATATTATTTAGTTTAATCAGTGTTTTTGTTTAAAATTGTGACATTTTATTAAAACAGTGTTTCTTAACCTTTTGTTTCTTCAAGATACTTCTACACATAGTCTACAACTTCCATGACACACCTAACATTTTATAGACAAGTTCAAAGTGGTGTAACTTGGGGAAAGGGGGGGTCATATAGATACCCCCTCCCAACTATGTTCCAGATGAAATGATGTAGAAAACAACAAAAATTAGTTACGGTATACACACACACACACACACACAAAAAAAAGAACTTTTCAAATATGTGAAGTATGTAGCGATTAATTTGTTTTTGGTTTTTAAACAAAATTTTGATAAAATCTTGAGGCGCCCTTAGAGAAGGTCCACAGCACCCGGGTTGAGAAACACTGGGTTTAAAGGTCAGATATATAATGAAAGCCACAACATTACCAAAAATATAAGTTTCTTAGATATTACCCTCGAGAGCAATTGCATCCATAAGCTGATAATTGTAAGTGAATTTGTTGATCTTTATAAGATATACACACTAGGCTGGTGATTAAACCTGGATACAATTTGACAGTGTGGTGAATTGGTGCTTTATATTTTACAAATATTTTGCTGACACTTTGTTGTTGTTTTTTTCGTAAGATAAAAGTTAATTTGCTCATATTTTCTTGTGCTTGTTTTTTTTTTTTTTTTTTTACAGAAATACCTTGTGCAACACTTTATTTGTTGCACCAGAAATTCAAATATATTTATTTCTTACAGTTGATGCACATTATGTAATTATTTTTTTATATATTGATAATAATAAAACGTTGATTCCGTACATAATGCGATATGAGATTGACTTTTTCTCACTCTGTTTTTTAAAATATAATTTACTTCCTGACCACAGTTTGTTAGTGATTATTTTGAACAACCAATAAAAATGTGCCCTAATGAAGGTCCATCTGGTTACTATGAGTCAGTACAAAGATGGTTCTCCTGGTTAAGGCATTACTACTTGTTTACGTAATCAGTAAATATTTTAATGTGATGTTTGTAAGAGAAAAAGGTTACCTGTAACTGTAGCTTTGTTTCAAGTATTATTCATGACATCATATGATACAAATCAATTTATACTTTAAAGACCAATCATAAGTGTTCAACTTATTCGGTAGTTGTTTAAGGTTTATTTGGTCCATAAAACGTAATAAAATAGACACACGTACAGCAAAACAAAGCAACCAAGATTTTGTTAAGAGATGGAAACTATACGTGATAACTGGCAATGTATGAAAGAATAAATGTGTGTGTGTGTGTATATTTGTTCGTGTAAACCTTGTAAAAGAGCCTGGTGGTTAGGCACTCGGCTCGCAACCTGTTGGTTGGAATTCCAATCACCGAATATGCTCACCCTTTAAGTCGTGGGGGCATTATAATGTTACAGTCAAAGAGTTGGCGGTGGGTGGTGTTGACTAGCTGCTTTCCCTCTAGTCTATCACTTCAAAAATAAGGATGGCTAGTGCAGATATCCCCCTGTGAAGATTTGCGCAAAATTCAAAACAAAACTAACCCTAATCTTGGCTTTTCTTAGTAATGTTGTAAATCAGTGAATAGGATAGGTTAAAGTACTGTTAACTACCTAAGACTACGTTTCTCAAATAATGCTATGAGCTAGTTCTTTTTATATAAATATGGGTGTAAGTTAATTGTCCACAACAAGGCCATAAAAACACAGCAGATAAGAGATGTTGATAATTTTCATAAAATATTATTTAACGCATCCATTTTTCACTAAAATCAGTATTACTGGGAAATTGGTGTAAAAAATATTGGTACCTAAAGTCAGTATAGTGTATATAAGCTATTTTACAAATTGTTGTTTGTCAGCTAAATCTGTCAATTTCTCTTGGTAATGCAGAGGGTTGAGTATGTTTAAAAAAAATATTTTGAAGCATCATCGCGTGATGGTTAGGGCGTTAGACTCGCAATCTGTGGGTCTGACACCCATCACCGAACATATTCCGTCTTTCAGGCGTGGGGGGCATTATAATGTGACGGTCAAGAGTTGGTGGTGGGTAGTGTTGATAGCTGCCTTCCCTCTAATCTATCACTTTGAGATTAGGAATGGCTAGCACAAATACTTCTAGCCAAGTTTTGCGCAAAATTCAACAAACAAGTACAACCACGTCATTACATTTCATGTTTCCATGTCCGGCCATGCTCACTCTGATGATTGTGCATCTTGACAATAGTCCTGCACGTCCTCCCTAGATACTTTCCATAAGCCATCCAGTGTACAAGATAGACAGTTTCCGAGCGCTAGTTTCACACATTCTCCAGCTCTTTGAGGTATGCGACCATTGAATGGGAGGTATGAATAGATGCCTTACCTCTGTGAATTCGCATCTTGTTGGCTTCATTTCCAGACGGAGATCTTTCTTGATTATATTGCATACTTTTGCCTAAGGCACGTGGACGGATTTTGGCTACTTAACTTTTA